ATAACAAAAATAAAACAAAAAAATTATTATTATATAAATTTATTATATAAATTAACCCTTTTTGAGCATATAAAGTTTGTATTTTTAGACATATTATGTCTAAAAGCGACCAAAAAATTATTAAATTATCAGTTTTAAAAACTATTTTTTTCTTTTCAAAATGTATTGCAGTAATTTTTGATGAATATGGCCATTAAATAAATAATATTTCGATATGGTGCACTGAGAATTCCCGAATATAGCAAAATTTCACCTTTGAACTCCACATTTTATGGGTTAAGAATGACCGATTTGAATAAAATTTGGAATATATATTTTATATTATCTGGTCTCTGAAAATACTCTGAAAATACATTGTTTAAAATGTACAACAGTAAAAAATTAATACGTATTCCCTAAAATATTACAAAAAAATGCGATTTTCCCGAAATCCGCAGAGTTCAAATCGCTGTAAGAATTATTGATCTAAAATTTTCACCGTTTTATTCACTTATCTGTTGTCCATAAATCCCCATGAGATCTCCTAAAATTTTTGAAATTAGTTTAACAAAGTTTAAAAAAACTGAAATTGGAGATTTGAAACGCCCGTTGGAAAAATCAAACTTTTTTGACCATAGCTAAGAACAAGTTCGCGTTATCATATACGGACAAAAACTATTATCCTAGTAAGTATAAATATATTTTAAGTAAGAAAATGTTTTTTTAGAATATATCTCAAAAATAAGCAAATTTGTTTTTCACATTTCTAATTTATGTGCTGTGAGACACGTTAATGGCCTGGGGAATTTGCAATAACTTTAAAAATTTTCAACCAATTTTTGTGTTTTATATCTTTCTGAAATGCTTATTCTGCGATTCCTTTACAATAAAGTGCAAAATTTATTGTTAAGTTGCTAAATTTTAGCAAAAACTGAAAAAAATCGATATTTTCCCCTTGTAAATGCACTTGGAAATTTCGGAGCCGTTGCGGCACATGTTAACGTTATCCTATCAGCCTAATTTTTTGCATGACATAGTTTTACACCCCATAGAACAATTCCATAGGGGGGACGGCCTGCCGGATAAAATTTCTTTTCCTTCAAACAAGCTTAGAGCACTCTAATATAGATACATGTTTGATGGTATTTTTTACGATGTTATAGTAATTATTTTAACTATCGAGAAATTTTTATCAATTTCGATAGATTTTAACGGTTATTATCTGTTTAATTTGGCAAATATAATTTAAAATACTTTATATTGAGTTCTTGCAAACTAATTTGATATGATCTCTAGAAAATGTATGTATATTAGATGATTCTATTATTCCATCTCTTTTGCATGTACTTCATTTAAATACATTTTGTTAATTTATTTTTTTTTAATATTTTCATAAGTAGTATGAGAGAACAAGACCAGAAATCTCCTCAAAATTAACAAAATTGGTCGTGCGGATTCAGACGAATGTAGAGCATGTGGAGAGGACAGTGAAACTCTGGAGCACTTTCTTTGCTACTGTCAGGCATTCGTCGAAGTTAGATCCAATTGTCTTGGAAGTGGAAATAACATTCATGACTAACACTGATTGGAAAATTCTTATGAATTACGTACAGGAAACTGAGTTTCTGAACATTGAAAAATAATGTACTTAATGACAATTTTTTTTTTATTTTTTTTCATGAAAAGGTGTGCACAACAGGCCTGATAGTGGCCTAGGTGTATTGTATATATCAACTACACATTCTCGTATCAACCTAACCTAAATGCATATTTGTTATTTTGTTTTTTATTTAACGCACATGGACTCATCACATTAAAGCCAAGGTTACACAAATAAAATTAAAGTCAGCTCAAATGTACTGGCTAATTGGACCACGATCTGCTCTAGACTTGGAGTACAAAGTGATTTTGTACAAAACAGTTATGAAACCGATATTGCTATACGGCATTCAACTGTGGGGAACAGCCTCCTCAACTAATGTTGAAAAATTACAAAAAAAGCAGTCAGCACTGTTAAGGTCAATAATAGGGATCTCAATGTCCCCTCTCTTGTTTAACCTACCTGTCGAAACTAATGAATCACCCAAAACCCCTTGCCAGGGAGTTGCTGTCATTGAGGGTCATGTTGAAAAATTACAAAGAAGCAGTCAGCACTGTTAAGGTCAATAATAGGGATCTCAATGTCCCCTCTCTTGTTTAACCTACCTGTCGAAACTAATGAATCACCCAAATCCCCTTGCCAGGGAGTTGCTGTCATTTGAGGGTCATAAACGAATGAGAAGAACGGAAACATTGGATTTTGCAAGATAATCAAATTATTGAGAACTTTTGTTTAAATTGCAGTGGTAATAACAACATTAGTTATAGGTTAGGTAAAGATTTTAATACTTATTGTAAATTTCTATATAAGAAAGATTCAATAAAGAATAAAAAACATAAGATTTCTCTGCTATGCCGAATCTTAAATACCCTCCACCTGCAAGCTACTTTTTATTAAAACCCAATATAAATATGTTATAAATGGTTAACGTTTTAGGGCCGGATTTATAGTTTATACTAAGGAAAGATATTTTACTTAAGTATATACTAGTGGCCTCCGGTAGGTTAGTGGTTAGTGTTCTAGTCTGGTAGACCGGAGGTGGTGGGTTCGATTCCCACCTGAGGCACTGGTTAAGGAGCAGAGAACAGGCCCGATAGAGGCCTAGGTGTATTTCTTCGGATTTGATGTATATACATCTTCCTTTCAACTAACTAACTAACTAAGTATATACTAAAGTACTTTATTTCCCTTATGGAGTTGTGTAAAACCCGGCATATGTTTTGTTTCCGTAATTAAGATACTATTTATCATTTAGTAACTTCTTTATGCATGTAACTAATTTTGGTTAGGTCCAGAAACATTTGTATTAAGTGATTTTCAGATACCGACCGATTATTCTATGACCTATTATTTGCCGATACTAAAAAAATTCGTAGAACTAACTTATATGGGAACTATTTGAAAAAAATTAATCAAAATGATTTATCTATACACAGAACATACTCATGTCCAGTTTAATAATAAATTATGTGGTATTAAGTGATTTTCCTTATATGGAATTTGGACCGATACTGAAAAAATTCCTTATATGAGAGCTGTAACCAATTATGTATATATATGTATATATATGTGTATATATGGGAGCTATGACCAATTTTGGACCGATTCGGATAAAATTCTGTAGAGTGATATGTACACAAAATATTCTCATGTCGAATTTTATCCCGATAGCTTTATTATCAATGAAATATGTTAATTTAAGTGATTTTCAAATTGGACCTTATATGGGAGCTATATATATCTAAGTCGGTAGTATGATTCCTGTTCATATAATGATATATTATATTATGATATATTTGAGAAAGTTATTAACGATAAATTAATTTCCGGAAATATGTAACTTTGTATAGGGGCTGTGGGAAATTTTAGATAGATTATTACAATTTTAAGCATAATTAATCTCTAGATGAAAAAAATAATCTGTGACAAAATTCATCGAATTATCTTCGGTAGTGTCTGAGAAAACTACTCAAGAATTAGGAAAAAACTTTTTTTTTTCGAGGTAGTCTGATATTTTTACTCATAACTTTTTAAGTTATGAATCGATTTTGCTTAGTGAATTTGGATGATTTCATTTGATTTATAAAAATATAAAACAAAACATCAAATTAAAATTACACAGAAAAAATTAATTTTAAAAAATTTTCAATTAAACGATTAATCAAAAATTTTAAAAGGGTTCAATTCATTTTGTATTTGATTCATAAAAATGTATAATCAAATACGTATTTAACAACAACAAAAATAGAAAAAATAAAAATTTTGTTTACGAAATCAATTATAAGTAGTAATTGAATATACAATTTTTGTTATAGGTTGAACTTCAAAAAATAAAATAATTGAAAACGAGGTTTTGGTAATTGAAATCGTTTTTCAGTTTTTTCTGTGTATTTAATACTGTTTGTGAAAAAAAAAATAAAATTTTAATAAGAATTAACTCAAAGCCATTGAAAGTCAAAAGCAGGACCTAAAAGTATGGAATGCTGCTCGAGTGAGCCATTTAAGAAACATTTAATGGTATTTTTCGTGATTTTTTATTGGGATATTTTTAAGTTTTTCTCTTTTCAGTTCTTTTGTGTTTGACTTTATAAGGCAGAACATTGACAACTATCTCTACTGATTCTACCTGATAATGGTATCACGGGCTAAAACAAAACATAATTCAAAAGAATTTTGTAGAAATACCAGATAGAATGTTTAATACATAGTAATTATGGGCACCAAAGCCTTGTTCGAGGGGTCCGATTGTATGGGGGCTGGGTGAAATATTAATGGTGTAGGATATAAACATTTGGGAATCATTATAAAAAAGTACAAGGTAAATTTTTAGAGGTGTACCAAAAAACGCACCTTTGCTTTTCATGCAGTGTGAGTCGATCTAATATATTGAAAGTATTAAGAAATCGATTCTACATTAAAAATTGTACAACATTTACTTACCTCATAAATAAATGTGTAGTACACGAACCATGAATTTGCAAAAGATTGAAAAAAACTAATCAAATTAAATTTGAAAATAAAATATTGTAACATTAAGTAAAGATAGGAAGAAACATCTATTTTATTTTTTATCATTGCCGCAAAAAAATATGCTTAGATTTGTACTCCCTAGGGTGTGATTTAATACGGTACAGCAACTGTAAGGTAAAATGTTTTAATATGTATACATTAAATGTCTACATTTTACTGCTCCTTTTTTGGTTTGTTCATTTTTTTACTCACTTTTATGTTGAATTAATGTTTACTGTATTATTTAATAGACAAGGAAACAAACATTCATATGTATACTAGCTTTGGCACTACAAATATGTATATGTATACAAGGGTGTACTTTGTGTAATAAATTAAAAATGTATTTCAATTACTTTTACCAACAAAAATATTGCTTTAATTTTTTAATTTATTTATTGCTTTCTTTTAGGAATTATGTTAAATCGACAAAGTCCGCCCATTTCCACCCCACTAGAACCATGTAGAATTGCTCCATATGTAAACCTAGCAACAATACGAAGCGTTGGCAATACAGGAGGACACTGCACTGGCTTTAAAAACACACATATAAGTACAGGAGAAAACGCCGAAAATACAACTGAAGAAGTTTCATCAAGTTTTCTACTACGTCAAGTTTCTGGAAAAAGTACAATTTCAGCCTTTGATCCAGCTATTTTAACGGCCACTGCTCACAAGGTTAAACTTAATTTATGGTTTGGTAATAATTAATGTTAAAACTAAATATTCATTTGCAGTACGCAGCGGTTATGGGAAATGTAAATACACCAACAAACATATTTACAATAACACAATATCCTTTAAATCTTGCCGCTATTGCTGCTGCTCAAAGTAAAAATTCTAGTATTGCCGATTTACGCATGAAAGCTAAACGGCATGCTGAATCACTTGGACTCGATTCAATTGATGAAGATTAACATTCAACGGATCCTCAAGTCAACTGATCACTGAACAACTATAAACTATATAAATAAAAAATGTTTAACACAGTAGAAGACGCAGGGGAAGAGGGGGAGGGGGGGAAGAAAGGAAGGCGAAAAAGAAGAAGGAGAGACACACAGACAGACAGACAGACAGACAGACAGACAGACAGACAGACAGACAGACAGAAGACAGACAGACAGACAGACAGACAGAGACAGACAGACAGACAGACAGACAGACAGACAGACAGACAGACAGACAGACAGACAGACAGACAGACAGACAGACAGACAGACAGACAGACAGACAGACAGACAGACAGACAGACAGACAGACAGACAGACAGACACGACAGACAGACAGACAGACAGACAGACAGACAGACAGACAGACAGACAGACAGACAGACAGACAGACAGACAGACAGACATACATACAGACAGACATACAGACATACATACATAAACAGACAGACATACATACTACATACATACATACATACATAAACATACATACATACATACATACACATACATACATACATACATACATACATACATAATCATACATACATACATACATACATACATACATACATACATACATACATACATACATACATATGTTTGTCCTGGAGTCATCAAATATTGACTCCAGGACCTTTTTAAAAATTTTTTCCAATTTTTTTCATGTATGTACATTAGGTTTATCGTCAATCGTCGTAGTCGAATTTAAATTTTATTGGTATTATGTATCAAATTCGACATGAGTATTTTTTTTTTTTTTGTACATTATTTTAAAAACTTTTATATAATATACTTTATTGAAAATTTTAAGTATTGCGGTATATTTCTTCTGATGAAAAAAGAGGAAATAGTAAAAATCGTCTCGATATTCAGTATTTTTATTAGTTTTTTGACCTTTATATATTAGAACACTGAATTAATTAATTATTTTCCAACATAATTTTTGTATTCCGAACAAAAGTTCGAATTTTCGAAATTAAATAGTAGTTTTAATCCATAGATTATTGTAAAATTTTTTGCACTTAATTTCGGATATTCGAACACTAGTTTTTATAGACTTAAATAATTTTCGAACATACATAAGTTCGCATTTTCGAGGTTTTTATGCCAACCATCAAAAAAGATGGCCCCCTTCAGAAAATGACTTTAACGTTCATTATTGGCGTAACAATACGAGTATAGCGAAGAAATTTGGCATAAGTTAGTATCTTAGGAGTCAAAACCTTTCCACCAATTTTTATGTGGATCGGTCCATAATTGACCCTACCCCCCATATAAGGTCGCCTCCATAAAATTACTTTAACGCTCATTACTGGCTTAAAAGTACGACTATAGCGGTGAACTTTAACAGAAGTAAGTTTTATACTAGCCAAAACCTCTCAAGCAAATTTTATATGGATCGGTCCATAATTGACCCTAGTCCCCATATAAGATTCCCTTCAGAAAATGACTTTAACGCTCATTATTGGCGTAAAAATACGAGTATAGCGAAGAAATTTGACATTAGTAAGTATCTTATGGCTAAAATCTTTACTTTAACGCTCATTACTGGCTTAAAAGTACGACTATAGCGGTGAACTTTAACAGAAGTAAGTTCTATACGAGCCAAAATCTCTCTACCAAATTTTATTGGGATCGGTCCATAATTGATCCTACCCCCCATATAAGGTCCCCTCCGAAAAATAATTTAACGCTCATTACTGGCCTAAAAACGAGTAAAGTGATGAAATTCGATATAAATACGACCTGTATGAACCAAGATCGTTCTACAAAATTTTACGAGGATCGGTCTATAATTGACCCTCCCCCATATATAACTTTAAAACTAATTACTGGCTTAAAAATACTAGTAGATCAATGAAATTCGACATAAACTAGTTTTATTTTTATTTATTTATTTATTTCATTTAGTGCAAGTAAGACTAAGAGTCTCATAAGGTACCTCAAACAATAATTTATTTAACAATTATTAATTGTTTAAAAGAGAAAAAATACAAAAGTCATAAAAACTAATACAATAAAAAGATAAACATATATAAATTATTTAAATACTAAAGTGTTTTATAACGGCCATTTTAAAAGAAAATTCACGAAAATCGGATTTTATTTTGTTGGGTAAACTATTACAATTTTACAGCACTAACAAAGAACATTCTTGAGGATGACAAGTAGTTATAGTCAGGTATATTAATATTAGAATTACGACTGCATCTGGAGGAGGTCAATTTGGAATATAAATAGTCAGGTTGCTTCGTATAAACTATTTTATGTAAGAATACTAGATTTCGAATATTCAAGTATGATATCAAACTAAATCCCAAGATATGTACAGAAAACTGAGATATTCTGTCAAATTTCCTTTTATTATAAACATATCTCGCACATTTGTTTATAGTAACACGTAGTTTATTTAGTGATATTGCATCAAGTTCACTAAAGACGATGACACCATATGTTATAATGGGAACTATTAAGGTTTTAACCAGTTTAAGTTTTATTTCACTTGAGATGTAATCTGCAGATTTCCACAGTTTTCGAAGGACAAAGTACATTCTAGAAATAATGTGATTTATATGGTCTTTACAGCTGAGTTTTGAATTAATTACAAATCCAAGATTTTTCACAATGTTAGTATATTTTATAATTTCATCTTTCATGATTAAAGCAGGTAAGTTATCATGCGTATAATCTCCAACATGAATTACAAGTGCTTGAGTTTTCGAGGCATTAATTGTAAGATTATTATTTAGGGCCCAGTTGTTAATATTCTGTAAATCTTCATTTAGACGAAATACTAAGTCCGCAACTAGACCAATAGGACGAGATAATTAAATTTGGGCATCATCAGCATAAAGGTGAATATTAAAGCTTTTACAACATTGAACAATATCATTTATAAATAAACTAAACAGTAAAGGCCCAAGAATTGATCCCTGTGGTACTCCGGAAAGAACAGGCTTGATTGAAGAAAAAGACATCTTAGTTTTGACTCTTTGAAAACGCTCAGATAGGTACGACTTAATAACCTTAATGGCAAAAGTACTAAATCCAAAGTATTTCTCAAGTTTCAATAATAAAATATTATGATTAACATTGTCGAACGATTTAGAAAAATCAATTAAAACAGCAATTGAAACATCACCTTTATCAAATGATGGGCGAATGTCCTCTAAGACCTTAAGTAATGCAGTACAAGTGCTCCTTCCAGGGCGATAGCCGGATTGATTTTCTGTAAGAAGATTTTCCTTAACAAGATGTTGTAAAATCTGATTCGAAATAAGGCGTTCAAAAGACTTAGATATTGACGAAAGGATACTTATGGGTCTATAATCTGGGGTTAGTGTAGGTTGATTTTTCTTTCCCACAGGAATGACATTGGCGATCTTCCAACAATTAGCAAAAATTGATGTTGTTATAATATGGTTGAAGATGTGTGTTAAGGATGGTAATACAACAGGAAGTATTAATTTAATAAATTAAATGTTGATCTCATCATAACCAACTGCAGTCGACTTGATAGCCATAATAGATTTTCCCACTTCTTCAATAGTAAAAGGTTTAAAATTAAAAGGAACTCCATGATACAAAATATCAGTGTTAATTATAAAATAGAGTCACTGATGGCGCACGATTTAAGAAAAAAGTCATTCATAATTTCAGGGTCAATATCACATTCAATTTTATTTTTCTTTACACCAATATGTTCTAAATTTTTCCACTAATCTTTAGACGAAATATTACTGTTTAGTTTTATTTGATAGTATATTCATTTCATATGTTTTGTAATTACATGAACTTTACTTCTCGCAACACGATATTTTTCCCAATTATGGTTATTTTGCCTTCTTTTCCAATCTGCATAGAACTTCTCACGTGTTTTAATGGCAGATTTAACTTCATTGTTAAACCAAGGTTGCTTATTATTATTGATAGTGATCCTTTTCTTAGGGACATGCTTTACAAATAGAGAAGAAAGATTCTCAATAAAGCTATCCAGTTTGTCATTCACATCAGTAAAAAACCAACAGTCATTCCATTTACAATATGCAGCTTCAAAACACAGTTGTTGAAAATTTATTTTATTAAAATCATAAAGGTAAATATGTGAATACATCTCGTTATAATTCATATTAATGTTGCATACATAAAACAGCATATCATGATCAGAGATTCCTGCAAGAGATAATTGATCAAACTAAATAGTAGCAGAAGCGTCTGAGATACACATGAGATCCAATAATGATGGTTTGACATTTGGCGCAAATCTAGTATACCAGGAGTTAACAATATTTAATCCACAAGAGCCCATGTTATTAATAAGATTTTGAGATCTTACATTATCATTCGATAAATCAATGTTAAAGTCATCACACACTATAATATTTTCACAATCGATACTAAATTTACTTTACAAAAAATATAGGTAATATAGTCAACTTTAGCATTATTTAAACTTCTTGCATTCATATGGCAAATTTTAAAACCATTGTAGCTACTACTTATTATCCCAAGAACTGTTCTTAAACTGCAGATAGCACTATTCGTATTAATTGTCATATTTGTTTAAAATAAATTTATATTTATTCAAACGACATGTGATTGCTAATAATACTACTTTTGTATGAGCTAACATCTCTCTACAAAATGTTGTGGGGGTCGGCCCATAATTGACCCTACACCCCATTTAAGGTCCCCATCAGAAAAATACTCAAAAAAATACGATGAAATTCGACACTGATAAGTTCTATAGGAACCGAAATCTCTCTACCAATTTTTATGACCATCAGTCCATAATTACCCCACCGAAAATGACGTTTATTACTGGTTGGAAATTATACATAAATATGATTTGTATAAATAAAAATAGTTCTACGAGATTTAAGGATGATCGGTTCATAATTAGTCTTACCCCCATATAAGGTAACAAAATTTCGTTAACTGGCTGAAAATACGAAAACCGCAAAGCAATTCGACATAAACTATTTTTTTTAAGCTAAAATCTCTCTACCATATTTTATGAGGATCGGTATATAATTAAC